GGCGGCCTGAGGGGAGCGCGTGGCCCTGCGCGTGTCCCCGCGCGCCCGGGCTCGTGCGTGACAGGCGGCGCTGCCGCCCCGGGGCGGGGACGGAGCTGGAGGGGGCGGGGTCTGAAGGGAAGCCCCGCCCATCTCCCCGCCCATGTGGGCGTGGCCGGGAGAGCGGCGGGTGCGAGGGGAGACACTGGGTGGGTGACAGCGGGGGGGTGTGTGTGTGTGAGTGTGAGACTGTGTCCGACACGGAGTGTGGGACACGGGGGGGGTGTGACACTGGGTGTGTGATACCGGGTGTGACACTGTCTCTGGGTGTGGGACACGGTGCGTGTGACACTGTGTGTGTGTGTGACACCTGGTGTGACACTGTCTGTGTGTGACACTGGGTGTGTCCATGTTACACCGGGTGTGACACTGTGTGTGTGAGACTCTGTGTGTGTGACATCGGGTGTGACACTGTCTGTGTGCGTGACTCTGGGTGTAGGACATGGTGTGTGTGACACTGGGGGTGTGTGACACCTGGTGTGACACTGTGTGACTGTGTGTGTGTGTGTGTGACACTGGGTGTGACACTGTCTCTGTGTGTGACTCTGTGTGTGTGTTACACCGGGTGTGACACTGTCTCTGTGTGTGACTCTGTGTGTGTGTGTGTTACACCGGGTGTGGCACTGTCTCTGTGTGTGACTCTGTGTGTGTGTGTGTTACACCGGGTGTGACACTGTGTGCATGACTCTGGGTGTGGGACAGGGTGTGTGTGACACTGGGGGTGTGTGACACCTGGTGTGACACTGTGTGTGTGTGTGACTGTGTGTGTGTGTGACACTGGGTGTGACACTGTCTCTATGTGTGTTACACCAGGTGTGACACTGTGTTTGACTCTGGGTGTGGGACACGGTGTGTGTGACACCGTGTGTGTGTGACACCGTGTGTGACACTGGGGGTGGGACACGGCGTGTGTGTGACACCGTGTGTGACACTGGGGGTGGGACACGGTGTGTGTGACACTGGGGGTGTGTGTGTGACACCGGGTGTGACGCTGTGTGTGTGACTCTGGGTGTGGGACACAGTGTGTGTGACACTGGGGGTGTGTGACACCGGGTGTGACACTGTCTGTGTGTGTGACACCGTGTGTGACTCTGGGTGTGGGACATGGTGTGTGTGACACCAGGGGTGTGTGTGTGACACCGGGTGTGACACTGTCTGTGTGTGTGACACCGTGTGTGACTCTGGGTGTGGGACATGGTGTGTGTGACACCAGATGTGACACTGTGTGTGTGTGTGTGACTCTGGGTGTGGGACAGGCTCTGTGTGACACTGGGGGGGTGTGTGTGTCTGACACCAGGTGTGTGTGACACCTGGTGTGACACTGTGTGTGTGT